TATATATATATATATATATATATATATATATATATATACACACACACATACATACATACATACATACACATATACACATACACATACACACATACCCACATACATACATATATATTTGTTGTATTTGTGCTGATAAATAAATAAAGGGATCACCTGAAATGATCTTTCTCCCATATTTGGGCATACCGGGGGTTGTAAAATCGTATATATATATATTCGTATGCATATATATGCTTCCTTGGAAGTCTGTCTCTTTGAATACTTTTGGACTTATTAAGTTAACAAGCAAGCACTCAGAAGTAAAGCTATTATTTAATAAAATAAAATGCAAGTTCAGTTATAATCTTTCAGCAAGAAAATATTGGGTAACAATTTTTCCAAGTTCTCAAATGCAATTAAGAATTTCAAAATTTGTAGTTCCGTTTAACTAGAAGGAAAAGATTTCTTTCAGGTACAACCATTAGCTCCCCAATTAAATTGATGTGAAATATTCTATAAACTATATTAATGCTTGTAATTATGTGGACAATGATAGTTAGCAATGGAAAAACTATTTTTTAAACAAATCATAGGCAGGATAGAAAGAGGTAAAAAGTGATTTGTTTTCATTGCATTGCAATTAAATTACAGTCTTTCATAAAGAAATTCAATGTTTTTACATTGAACAACATGATAGATTGCTTTCTTTACCAATGAATTTTTACAATATTAATAGTATTCCATATTTCATGGATTGAATTCATTACAGTATTTGAGAAAGAGCATAATAAAAATTAGATGGAAATGCAAAATCATTTTCATATCACCTGAAATAAACTAATTTTGCGTAATTAGCATCAAAATGGATTAGTTCAGGATTGGAACACTGACAGATATCTACCATGTCATTACCTGACATTTCATAAAGTGTAAAGTTTTCACTTTTTCCATTCTGTACCAGACGTTTTTAAAAGGAAATAAAACAAAAAAGTTTGCATTATTTTCAATTCAATGAGTTCAAAATGTTAAATATTGAGTAGAATGACATGATTTTCTGGTCGAATATTGATTACAAAATTAACCTCAAAGAGTAGTGTGAAATCAAAGGTAATTAAAAGACATAATAAGCTAATTAAATACCAATTTTGCTTAAAGGATTTCTTAAATTATTTGTATAGCATAGCAAAGATGCTAAACTGAAGCCAGTAAAATGGCACACTGATAAAAATAGCAATTTTATAATAAGAGAAACGGTACCTGTAGACACCACATTAGTGGCATGATTGGAGACGGGCAAGCACTCTGCAGCACTATGATGCATTATTAGAGGCAGAGTGGGAGACGAATCAGAAGTCAAGGGGATGAAGGTGTCAGCTGAAGAAAAGACTTGACAACTCATTCCCACCCAAAATAAGCAAAACAATAAAATAGAATGAGAGGAAAGAGGAATGAAGGGATGCCTTGCCTTGCCTAGCGTTTCTCCCAGAACTATTCTATGCCAACTCAAATTCAGTTGGCCAACTTCATTACTTGCATATATACATAATGTGAGTTATGGTGCACTGTGAGTTGTGTGCAGGCATTTATACCACCAGGAAATCCTTTTATCCATGTTAATGGGCTTTGCTAGGCAGGGTTGCTTAATCACTCTGGAAACTCCTTCTTTCCCACCCAAAGGCAACAGATACCCAATTAATGAGGGGAAACAAGAGAGCTAGTTTTTCAAATTCTTTCAAGCTGGCTTTTGTGAAGGAAACAATATTGGATAAAGCTATATGAGGGAGTCATTTTACCCCAGTTTCTGCGCATGAGAAGGAAGAAAGCTACTCGGCGTTATCTTAGGAACACCTGTCTAGGCTTTCTCTATCCCCAGTAAATATTGAGAAATTAAAATGTTATACATGATATTACATTCCAGACTGCAGCAATCTGATTTATTTCTTTATAGCTGGAGAATATAAATATTAATAATTAATTGAAAGCATCTTAAATATATTTTAGAGTATGGAAAAACCAGGTTGGATATATTATTTTATGAATCAGTGTTTATTATTTTAGGATATGGGAAGACATCAGTTTTAACAACAACAGCAGCAGCAGCAGCAGCAGCAAGAATAACAACAATAACACTTGGTACCATGTCCAAGAATTTTATAATATACATCAACAAATTGCAGCTTCCTGCAATAATACCAGCAGAACTGCAAAAACTGCACTACTCGGAACATTGTATATTTTAAGAAGATACTTGGTTGATATCTAGGACGCTGGCAGCAACTCATATCAACTATTAGCAACAGTCAATGGTATTTGTGATGCATTTTTTAATGTTCCATTGACTGAGTTTAATGTATAATAACAACAACAACAACAACAACAACAACAACAACNCAGAAAGTATCTTGACTGACTTGACATATCCACAGATAAGATTTACATCCATGCTGTTTGACATGTTGAAAATACTCTCATCCAAATCTTTCTGTAATTTCCAGTTCCTATCTTTCTATAGATTTTACATTCCAATCACTTGTACCAAAGGTGCTTTTTTCAGAAAGCAGCTGGACTTTCTTTGTTTGCAAGAGGTAAAACAAGAAATACACATAGTATTATTTATGGGTGATTGGAATGTTTATGGAGATTCTCAGTAATCTAGGTAATGGTTGTCCCAAAAGTGCTTTTTCAAAAGGCAACTGGACTTTTTTTGTTATTCCTTGAAAGCATTCCACCTCTTATCCAAGAAACTTCTTCAGTTCTGACTGAATGGTGGAAAATGGAAGGCTTTATATTGCTTGCAGTCATCTGGTTGTCATCACTCTCATGATTAAGTTGACTGCAAGAAATATAAATCCTTCCATTCTCCACCATTCGGTCAAAATGTAAGAAACTTCTTGGATAAGAAGCGAAATGTCTTCTAGGAAAAACAAAGTCCAGTTGCCTTTTGAAAAAGCACCTTTGGACAACCATGACCTGGATGCCTGAGATCTGCATGGACATTCCAGTCACCTATAAATAATACTACATGTTTTTCTTGTTTTATTTAGAACCTTTTGCTGTTTTCCACTGAATATTTATCTGGAAACTTTTTTTCCTCTTTTTATTGGATGCCAAGATTCTTTTTAGGAAGTTTAAATATTTCACATGGAGAATTGCCATGATAGATAATGTAGATGAATCATAAGAAATACTATGGACTGTTCTACAGAGATTTAAATCAGTATTTTTCAACTCTGGCAAATTTAATGTGCGGAATTCAGTGCTAATTGGGTCTTAAAGTTGCCAAGGTTGAAAAACACTGGTCTAAATAGTGTCTTGGACACTATTGGAGTAAAATTGGAGTAAAATTGCTTCCCACTCTTTTTCATAGTTCCCTTTTCTTTTGTTGTTCCTTTTTCTTAAAGATAAATAAATGAAATAAATGATTTACAACAAAACAAAGCATTTTTTTTTACTGCAGTGTGTAATACGCCTTGTCACAAGTCAAAAGAAGTAGCAGTAACTGTTCTGGGATGTTAAACCAAGCCAAGTCTTGTTAATATCTGGATGACAATCCTTCAAAGAAAAGCAGATCTATAAGCTAGAATGTGAATTTGCAGAAAAAAGAAAACAACTCCTGAAGTGAAGCCATTTCTGGCACATTGTCACGAAAGGTACATAAATAAATTATGAAGTTCTTTGGAATTCAGATTCAACTTAAAGGAGAAGTTATTTCTATAATAATGACAATAGAGCAAAGAAAGGCCTTTATCAAGATATTTCTCATGGATCAGACCTCCTTATATAAGCATTTACAAATCCTTAATGGAAAGACAATTCAAATGATTGGTTTTACATTTATTATACTTAATATCCATACTTTCTATGCATTATAACACTTTGTGATAATACAATGACAATATTAGCTAGTGAACCAAAAGTGAATGGCACTCGCTTTGGCAGTAGGTTTTGGTAATTGCTAGAGGTAAGCTATAGTTTTAATGAACAATTACTTGGAACTGTCTTTATTACTTCCAGAGAGTTAAAATGCTATAAATTTTGTTTCAGAAAGTAATTCTTACCTGCCATCATCCCATACGCAGTTTGTTGGTTTCCATAATGACAAGAAGGAACAGAATAATGCAGACCTGGAGGCATATTTCCCATAGTAGCCATGGAAAAGCATATATGGCCATATTTAAGGGTTGGGTTCAAAGACAAATAGATGAGACCAGTAAGAACATGTACACGGATTCATAAAACATTATCTCTATCAAAATACATGAAAATTATCTTTTGGATTTGTCATGAGTTGAACTCAATGAATATCTTAAGAATACAATATTGTTTGATTTCTACATGCAGCAATTCGGTCATCCAATTTAAGGACTACATAACTCCAGTTTTCATCACATTTTCTCCACGTAGTAAACTATAGACTAAAACATGGAATAAACTGGGCAGATGGTGAAACATTCAGCATATGTTGAATTATGTATATTTCCATTCATGTGATATGTTTATATATCAATTTAGTAAACTCATTTCCACATGATTTTTATAAAAAAAGGTTATCTAAATAGTAACAGTACTATAAACTATGATTATTATCGAGTGGTTGAATAAGCCAGTATATAATTTCAATAAAGGATTATAATTACTAGTATTATTATTCAGTATACTGTAAACATTTTTTAAACAATCCCTTAGTTTCCAAATATAACATAAAATAAGTATTTTACTGTATTACAGAGATCAATATCATGATAGCTGTATTTAATTATCTTTTATTCACTTTTGAACTCTGCTTCAAATTCTGTAATCATGCTCCTCTAAAATTACATTTAAATTGTTCTATTATTTTATCTGTAAAATGCTTTGAAAGAATGATACTCTGCAGTGTAGTACAATATGAAATAAAATATTTGAAAATATGTACGGTATATCTCATATAGAAAGAAGAAAGAGATCAACTGAATAATTGCTCACATCTTCTTTGACGATCTTTTTTGCAAATAGGATAAGTATACCTGCATGGAACTCTCTGAGCAATTTGTATCATAAAAAATGAAGGGCTGAAATACATGTTTCAGTGTAAATATATTGTTTTCTTTTTAAATGACACCTTGAATGGATAAAGATTAGGAATGGTCATGACAAGTATAATTCTATTATTTCATTAACATATGTCAATGGTAGAATGAATGACATGTTCTTTGATTATTTCAGAGTCATGGCCTATGCCTGCTAGTTTTACCTTCATTTCTTATATTAGTATATATTTCAAGGTCGAGCAACAAAAATTCCTGGAATCATTTAAGATTATGCATTGAAGTGTAATAATATTGCATATCTAAGACAGGTCAGCAGTGTGAGAGGTAACTTTAATATCATGCAAAACAAAATGCATAAAATATTACCTGTTGTATTAAGAATTAACTGGGCTAATGTCTTCCTGATTATGTTAATTATCCTTTTTATGCAAAAATGGTGATGACACTATTACATTTTATTTTCAACCAATATTTTTAGTTAAAAGCATCCATGCAAATTTGCAAACAAACATGAGCAATTTAAGGCTGATCCTTTTCTGGGAACTTCAAAAAATAAATTTAAGGAATTTGTATATATTGCACTATTTAAAAGAAGGCTGCACAAAAAGGATGTGCCAACGTCACAACGATACGGACGTGTGGTCTTGATGCCCCAAGACCGCTGCCGATACTTTTGCCTCTGGATGGTCCAATCGGACCTAAACCGTCCCATAAAGATGGTGAACAGGAAGAATACATCTTGCTGATCTCAAGGACACCACAAAGTCCCTGGTCGATCCAAGAGAAGTTCTTCAAGCCGGTGACAAAAAGTTCAGTCCCGGGCTGATGAAGTTGGGATGGCTCCGGAATGGAAGGAAAGCGGAAAGAGAAAGTGTGTCCACCTGGTGAGGAAACTTTACTGTTTTGGAAAAGACTGCCCAAATTTTTTTAAAAGTTAAATTAAATCCAAAAGCAGAAGAAAACAAGCGGCAAAATTAACCTATATTGGATTGCTTTGGATAGTGTGTTTCTTTTTCTTTGTAATTTTACTTTGTGCTCGCAACTTTTTTTTTTAAGAGAATGGATCAGTTTT